ATAGAATTCATAGGATATTAAAAATAAATTTTTCCATGTTTTGACCATTTCTGTTTTTAGCTATTTACATTATTGAAACATAAGTCAGAATGGAAGAATACTTAAAATAATGACTATGTTTGTATCTGATTTATTTCAGATAGATAACCCCAAAGTCCATCTAGCTATGTTATCTTCCATTTGAAGATTGATAATTTATTTCTTTTTTGATCTCTGTTCTTCCTGTTTTCCTGCCTTTCAGTGCATAGAGCCCTCTGGTATATAGAATGAGACAGTGGTCTGGTCTAGGGATTGCTAAGTGAGGTACCACCCTTAGCTCTCAAAGGCTCCCTGTATGTAGGTGGAAAAGTTACTGGGTATATATAATAATGTCTTGCTTCATTCTCCACCAAGGTACTGAACATCCATTTATTTACCACCCATTATGTCAGCATTATGTAGGACTTCCCTTGGGAGGCCTATTAGCTGTACTTAAAGTTTAATTCAGATGCCGAATAGCATATAACACCAGGTATTTCTCTAATAGAGTATGTACCACACTTTATGATAACTACCTGTTTACCTGTAGTAACTGGTTCCCTCAAGGGCAGAGCCATGCCTTCAGCCCTGGTGAGGAGCACAGGACAGCACCACCATAACAGGTGCTCAGTGATGTTTACTGGTAGGAAGAAAGAAGGCCCAGTCCCTGTTTTTGGAAACTCTATACTCTACTGGGGAGAAATGAAGCACAAATAGTCCACGAAATGGATGATTTAGAAATACAGTCACTTGGTTTGTTTCACAGAAATGTCTTGTTGCTAATTTGCCACAATGAGTGGTAAATAATAAAACCTATGTACAATTAATGCATTGCCTTGCAGAGTCTTGCCAATAATATCTGACACATATAGCAGCTATATACTTTACACACTCCCTTATATCTAGTCTTTGAATACCAGACACTATATTAGGCACTAGAAACCAGTGATAAATAATGTTATGTATATTTCCTGGAGACTTATTATGTGCCATGCCTTGTTTTAAACACTTTTGATGCCTTAAGTCAATCTCTACAACAATACTATGAGATAGGTACTATTTAATATTCCTTTTTCACAGATGGGGGTAATCAAGGCCTAGGCAGGTTTAATTACTTGCCCAGGTTCACATAAGTTGGTAGATCTAGGATTCAGAATCAGCTTGTCTGAATCTAGAGCCTAGTCTTATAGCCATGATGCTATATTCTAATACAGTAGAATCCTGTTCAGATGAAATTTTAACATGTCCATAAATTTGAACATGTCGATAAACATAAACCAATCAAAAATGATTACAGTTTGTGGAAAGTGTTTATGAAGGAAGTAAATAAAGGAGTTACTTTAGAATGGTCAAGGAAAGGTTTCTTTGATGTGCTATATATACTTTTAAGCTGACACATGGAGGATTAAAAGGAAACAGTTATACAAGGAGTTGTGGGGGAAGAATGGCCCAGGTGAATAGAACAGCAGGTACAAAAACCCTGAGACAGGAAAAGTTTGTCTTGATTTAGGAATTGTCAAAAAGCCAGTGTGACTGAAGCATTGTGAGTGGAGTAACAACAGATGAGGTTGAAGAAATAGACAAAGGCCAGATCATGTGGGGGTCTACATTCTAAATGCAATGGGAAGCTGTTGAAGGTTTTTGGCAAGAAAATTGGTAAATCCCTAGCTAGACTGGTAACTAAAAAAGAGAGACCATAAGTTACCAGTATCAGGAATAAAAAAGAGGACATCACTATGGATCCTACAGATATTAAAAAGATAATAAGGGAGAATGCTCAGTCTATTTTATAGAATGAAGTGTCCAATTTTTTAAAAAGCAAAAAAGATACAGGATTTCTAAATAATTATTTGCCAAGGAATTTGACAATTTGGGTGAAATGGACAGAAATGCCTTGAAAAACACAATCAAGACTCACATAGATGAAACAAAATCTGCATAGCCAATTAAAGAAATTTATCATTAAAAACCTTTCCGCAGTTGCGGACAATGGTTTATGCTTGTAATCCCAGCACTTTGAGAGGCTGGAGGATTGCTTGAAGCTAAGAGTTCAAGACCAGCCTGCGCAACAGAATGAAACCCTGTCTCTGTTTAAAAAAAATTTAGCTGGATGTGGTAGCCTGTGCCTGTAGTCCTGGCTACTCAGGAGGCTGAGGCAGGAGCCTGAGTCCAGGAATTTGAGGTTGCAGTGAGCTATGATGATGGATACAATCCAGTAGTGCAGGTGAGACTGATGATACCAGAGACCGAGGCAATAATTGATGAAGCAATGCCCTGGAGAATACTAGCCCCTGGGATCTAAAGTACAGTGGAGGGATTGCCCATTGACAGGAAAAACATTGTCCAGTGTTGGCAAAAAGTAGAAAGATAATAAGATGGGTGCACATATTGGTAGTTTTGTAGATTTACATGCATTCGTGGAATGCATGATGGAGCTCCTATCTAACAGTTTCTATTTTCTCAATGAGTTTTCCAGAAAAAAAGGAGGAGAGGCTGTTTCCCAGGGAATGCAAAATTGTGAAACCTTGGTTTTGGACGCCAGGTTTTGGACAACTGCAAATGGTCCTCTTCAAACTAAGAGCGTGAGTCGGACACGGGCTGGAGTGTCAAGGGAGAGGGCAGGAGTCTGGGCCAGGTGTGAAGGCTTTTCCAAGCCCTAAGATAGGGAGCAAAGGGGCTGCCAAGCGCCTCCGCGGGGCAGGCGGCGCTCCACTAGCAACGCGCGGGGAGCGGGAAGGGCGGCCTCGCGCAGGTCAACTGGGACCCGGTAGGTCGGCGCATGCGCGCAGAGCAGCGTAGACTCGCGCTCCTTATCTCCGTTTGCCGTGTTGCCCGCGGTTCCCCCTGATTTTCCCTGGCGGCAGTTTGCTGTCCCGGCGCCCGGGATGGAGCACCTGGGCGAACTGGAGCTGCTGATGGAGAAGAGTTTCTGGGAGAAGGCTGCGCTGCCGGCAGAGCTGTGAGCGGAGCTGGGGGAGGGCGTGGGAGTAAAGCGGGAGATTTAAAAGAAAGGAGCGGGAGAGGCCGCACCCACGCCTGCGCGATGACCGGGATGGGGACAAGAGACCCGGCTCAGCTGCCCGGGCCCCAGACGAGCCTCCGGAGCTGGGGTCCGCTTCCCGGGGTTTTCCTTGGGGCCGCACTCGGCCAGAGCCTGAAGGCTCTCGCCTAGCAGTTCATTCTTTTCCTCGATGTCACCTCTTTTGCAATTTTGGGGAGTTTGAACCATTGAAATATCTTCATAAAAACAAGCAACTGAGGCCGGGCGCGGTGGCTCACGCCTGTAATCCTAGCACTCTGGGAGGCCGAGGCGGGCGGATTGTTTGAGCTCAGGAGTTCGAGACCAGCCT